GTGGCTCCGTCCCACACCCTGCCTGCCACTGCCCCAGCCCCAGCCCCACTCCCTCCCCCACCATGGGGCCTTGATCTGGCCCACCACAGCCCTTCCCTCACAACAGAATTACCAGCTGGACCCAACTGCCATGCTGCTGGACTGTGCTCCCGGCTGCCTGTGTGCTGCGCTGCGTGCGTACACAGGGCATTTACTGGCCACATCAACCAAAAAAAGCTGATTGCCAATACTGTCAATTTTCCTTATACTGGTGCCAATTTGATATGGGACTGATGTATTGGGGTACCTCTAAAAAATTCTAATGATCTTCTTTTGAACAGCTTGAATACCCACCTAGACTGTGCAAGTTTCATTCCCACTATGTAAAAGCTACACAGGCAAAGCTAGACTTTCCTTGTAATCACTACTATCAGATGGGAACTGGAACTGAGAGCAGGGAGCCAATGTCTCCCAGGCTCAAAATGGACTGTTCTGGACAGTGTCCAATCCAAATTCAAGGGGAACAAATAGCAAACCAGGGGGGCGAAGGAGGGGTAGGCTGGGACTATGAATTTGGGCAGCACTGGAATTGGAAATGGTGGAGACAGAAGCTATAATTAGGATTAGTTAAATGATGAGAAGAGATAGGGATTGACTAAGCAAAGGAAACTGGGAGTGAAGGGCAGGTGAAACTAGACCCGAGAGCTAGTGAGGCTTATTCACTACATGTTCTCCTACTTCTGCAGTAAAGCAAAGTGGTGTGCAACAAACAGTTCTGATCCATCTCCAGACCACACATCCTGTGGAAAATATACCCTTAAATCTGGCATTTCCTAACATTCTTAGGCATATCCTAATTCCACAGTATTCTTTTTATGTTACTTTTTGTAATGCCCTGGGTTTTTTAATTAAACTGAAAAACCAGAAATGCCTCACATTGTTGGGTGTGAGATCGGCCCAGTTCACCAGCAGAGTTGGAACCTTTAGATCCCCCAGACTTGTCACTTGAGCTGATGGAGTAACTGAGAGCAGTAGGGGGTGAGACGTACGCTTTGCAGTTGCGCTACACAGATATTTGCTGACAGCAGAGGCATGACCCGGGAATGCCGGGTTGTATTCCAGGTTCTGGACGGAGGGGAGTGTGCTCCTGGGGGCACTATTCTGTCCTCTCCCCGTGTGTATCCCTCCCACTTGGTCCCGCCTCAGTCTTGTTTACTGCCCACTGCTGGATCCTTGCCCCAGTACCGTTCTCTCTGCCACCCGGATCCCAACCTCCAGCCAAAAGAACACCCCAAACTGACTTTCATTTGCAACAGCCTGGGAGTCCCTGCCTTCCAGGACAGAGGGGCTCTGGGAGCAGCGCCTGCCTTTGACGCCTCCGCTGACCCTCCTTTTCAGTCAGGGCTCCTTGGACTCCAGGTTGGATCGTTTAGGAAAAGTTGCCAGGGGGACAAAAAGAACTCACCGCGGAGGAGGAGGAGAAGGCTGAAGAAAGCCAGGGGGACTTCGCTGTTGCTGGGATCTGCAGGAGAGGAACAGAGACGCCTGCGATGGAGATGGCAGCAGGGAGCTGTGAGGCGCCGCCGGGGACCTGCTGCCCCAGCCCAGCGCCGGGCCACCCAGGGACACTGGCTGCAGAGAGCGGTGCAAGGCAGGCCCGCCGCACCCCGTGCCAGTGCAAGCGGAGGGAAGAGACCGCCCCACGTAACCCGACCCCATTCGGGGCCACCCCGCCGCCGGGTCCTGGCTCCCGCCTCGCCCCCTCACCCTGGCCAGGAGGTGCCGCCCGGGCCAGGCCCCGCGAGCCGCCGCTGCCGCCACCGCCATCCTGCGCTGGGGTCCCGACCCCCGCGAATCCCACGTCTGACACAGAGCACTGATTGACCCCGCGCGCTCCCATTGGCTATCGCGCGCCGGCCCCGCCCCCGCGCCTTCCCATTCGAGGAGCTACGATTCGCTTTGGCCAATCACAATCCGGACCCTTCCGGCCACCACCTCCCGCTGCGCCACCGCCCACCGTTCCCGAGCTTCGATTGGCTACTGCGCGCTGACACCCCCGGCCCCACAAGCATTGCCTGATTGGCTGCGAGGTCGGGCCGGACATACCCAGAGTAGACAGCACGTGTGGCGGCGGTTGAGGGGG